CATTGGGGAAAGCAACCGCCATCGCCAATCCACAAACTGGAAGTCTACTCAAGTCTATTTAATTTGCTTGCTCTCAGGGAAATATTCTTAGGATTGCTCCAAAAAATCTCAGGGAACTATGATCTCACCCAAGAGCTTCTTCCTGCCCATTTGGAACATAAAAGAAATGTTTTATAGGCAAAGTGTGCTGAGGAAAATATTTAGCAATGCAATCCAAGAAGGTTGGAAGTGTGGCTTGATAAGCACAAATACTGTATTAATGATTTGGAGGCATCACCTTCAGGAGGACCATGACAGGTCAGGTAAAAGATGTAGTCTGCAAAATTACCACCAAATCCTTTTATCTTCTCTTTTACTGCATCAACTTCCATTCATACTAACTGACCAGGATCTTTTTTCCCTTAATGAATGGAGCAATACCCTCTGGAGTGAGAAAGTCTTGAAAATACTGGGAAGTGAAGGGCAACGTCTCTTTTACTGTAAGCATATCGGTACTGGTAGGGACAGTAGAACTTGTACGATGGACAGGTCAAACCCTTCTGTCTGCTTTCCTCTGTCTGTTCTGCTGCAGTCCCTTTAGTAGCTAGATTGCTAATCTTAGGGATTTCCTTCTTTCCAGCTGCCTCCTCCTCATGCTTTCTCTCCCTGACCTCCAAGGTCAGTAAGTGCCATCATGTGGCCCCTCCAGCATCTGGGGCTGGTAGGAGTGGCCTTTGGGAGGAGTGGTGCTCCTGAGTATCCTTCACAATACTGGGAACCAACATTTAGAGGAAGGGCTGTAGCTCAGTAGTAGAGCATCTGTTTGGCATGCAGAAGGTTCCAGATTCAAAGGAGCCGACAGGCACTCTTTGTCACTCCTGATTAGATAGCTCATTAGACTGTCTCACCTTCTCTATCACAGTATGGGTTTATTATCAACTAGGAGTAAGGCCCATTGTGGAAATAAATACAATGAGCTTTAGAATGAGGCTCTGAGAGAGTGCCAAGGCCTTGGGTACTCAGCATTAATTTGCTGTAGCGACCTCCTCAAACCCTATCCCCTTCCCAGTTAACCATCAACCTACCATTATCTGCCCCTCTGACTGCAGCTGACTTCTGCCCTCCCTCCTGGAGATCAGTTGTATTTCTGAGTGATCTCCACCCTTCACCTGGAGATTGGCAACAGTGGTTCCCCAGGATAAAATGTCTGGTTTGGAGGGTGGAGTCTATGGCATTGTACCTGTGTGAGGTCCCACCCCTCCTCAAACCTCACCCTCTCCAGGCTCCACCCCTCAAATCTCGTGGAATTACCCAACCTGGAGTTGGCAACCCTATCTCCTTCCCAGTCAAGCATTAACCTGCCATTATCTGCCCCTCTAATTTCACCTTTCCATCTCCTTCCCCCTTCTCTCCTGGAAATCAGTCGTCATTCTGAATGATCATCAGTCCTCACCTGAAGATTGGCAACAGTGGTTCCCCAGGAGGGAATGGCTGGTTGGGAGGGTGGAGTCTATCACATTGTACCTGTCTTAGGTCCCACCCCTCCTCAAACCTCACCCTCTCCAGGTTCCATCCCTCAAATCTCCAGGAATTTCCCACGTGGAGTGGGCAACCCTATCTCCTTCCCAGCCAATCATCAACCTACCTTTATTTCCCCCTCACTCTCCAGTTTTCCATCTCCCCCCCCACACCTGCAGCCTCTACATAGGAGGAAAAGTAGTCTTTCTCTGCAAGGGGACCAAAGCAGCTTACATCATTCTCCTCTCCCCCATGAGGTAGGTTAGGCTGAAAGTCTGTAACTGGTCCAAAATCACCCACTCAGCTTCTACAGCAAGAACCTGGATCTAGCAGACCCTGTTCTGAAGCACTGACTGCTACGCCTAGGGTAGCCAACCTCCAGGTGGAGCCTGAAGATCACCAGGTATCACAACTGAACTCCAGACAGCAGCCCTCTCTCCCCCAGAGGAAATAACTGCTTTGGAAGGTGGGTTTTATGGCATTCTGTTCAGCTGAGGCCTCTCCCCTCCCCAAAGCCTGGCTTCCATGGACTGTACCAGAAAATCTCCAGGAATCTCCCTACTTGGAGCTGGCAACCCTAGTCAGAACTGGCCACAATGAGTTCCTCACAAAGGCCTGCGAAGGGTTTCCTTCCTTTGTCTGAACCAAACTTGTTTGCTTACTGTGGTGAAACGGGCTCCAGTTTTCAACTCAACTGGATGGGCTGGAGTCTGTATTGATGCTGCCCTGCCCCTTGGGACAGTCCCTCTTTCCCCATACTTTTTGGCCTTGGAGCAGCTGGGAACTGTAGGCCAGCAGATAGGAACCCCCATTCAACCCAGTGAGTGATACCCCTTTAGGCCCCTCTCTGGAACTACAGCTCAATTAAACCTTATGGGGGAACATTTTAAACAGCCAACCACAGATGGCAGCCATCTTACAAACACAGGTAACTGCCATTTTATTACACCTACTAACAGCCACTGAGGGAAGAGTTAGTCCCACACAGGAGGCAAGCAGGAGAAGCATCTTCATCAAGAGAGAAAGCCGTTTGCCAGTAATTCTGACAGGGCACAGTGGCTGACGGGGGAGTGGGCAGGGAAGAGGAGCAGACCCAGCACCCGGCGAATGGCACGTGAGTACTCTTGAGTGGCGGCTGATGGGCCAATGGCTGAGGGAGGGCATGGAATGTTGCCACTCGAAAATAGAATTATTATATAGGAGAGATAAATAATATCCTTTTATTTCTTAAAGCAACAAGGCTCCTCTCTGCTTTGGAATAGCCAGCTCAAGCTAACAAAAAGAAACCTGGCAAAAGATGAACATTTCTGATTTGAAGATCAAGCCATGCATATTAATAGTAGTGCCCAGTTCTGTATAATAACACAATAGAGTTGCATGTGTAGAATCATAGAGTTGGAAGAGACCTCCAGGGTCCTCTAGTCCAACCCCCTGCACAATGCAGGAAAATCACAAATACGTCCCCCCACACATACCTAGTGACCCCTGCTCCATGCACAGAAGATGGCAAAAAACCTCCTGGATCCCTGGCTAAACTGTTAATTTGCTGTTAAATCCCTGTCTATAAGTTTAAAACCTCATCTACCATTCCAGTGTATTTGAAAAAATGTACCTTGCACATGAAAGACCATACCTTGAATAAACCTTTGTTGGTCTTAAAGGTGCTACTGCTTCAGACCAACACGGCCGACTATCTGGATCTGTCTTGCTGAGAAACATAGCGCAGTTGGGATTTATTGTAGGTTAAAAGGATTAAACAATTTTTTTACATAATTTACCCTTAAACCAGAGATTTGACCAAACTCTTGTAAAAGATTTTGTAAATGAAATAAATAGACATCTAATTTTGAAAGATAGAAGGCAACACCATATGCATAAAAGGCAATTTTAAACTCTATGGCATTGTATTCCACTGAGGTCCCTATCTTCTTCAGGTTCCATCCCCAAATCTCCAGGAGCTTCCCAGCCTGGGTCTGGCAACCCTCCCCTCATCCCCTGCCCATGGCTAGGGGGGTCCTGGCAACCCTACAAACCACTGATTCTGACTGTACATCCCATGATCCCCATTTGCACGTCTATAAGGTGATGTTGATGGCAATGGAGAAAAACAACCTTTCTTCTCACTACCATCAGCTGGACTGCATCTGTCTGAGCTTTACTGTGTGGTATTTAAATCTTAGATATGAACCAGTGGAAAGTGAGTCATGTTATGCCTGCTTGATGCTTCGATTGGTCTTTTGCTGACAAGGTTATTCATATTTGGTCTGACTTGATGCCACATTGATTACAGAGTCTGTGCTGGCAATTTCTGAAGTAACCACCTGTCACAATCACTAGGATAATTTCAGGTTGCTCATTCTGACTAAAGCTTGCAGCTTGTTTGTTGCCAATTATGAGTGGTTAATTCTAGTTAGCACCATCTCACAGAATTGCTAGCAAAGAACATGAATGCCTTTTTGGAGGAGGGTGGCTCAAGTGGTTAAGACACTGAACTGCAGGCTGTGGAAGGTCAGTAGTTCAGCAGTTCAAGACCCGGGTGCCACAAGACGGGGTGAGCTCCCGTCTCTAGTTCCAGCTCCTGCCAACCTAGCAGTTCGAAAGCAAGAAATTGCAAGTAGATAAATAGGTACCACTTCGGTGGGAAGGTAACAGCGTTCCGTGCGCCTTGGTGTTTAGTCATGCCGGCCACATGACCACGGAAACGTCTTCGGACAGCGCTGGCTCTTCGGCTTTGAAACGGAGATGAGCACCGCAACCCTAGAGTCGGATTCGACTGGCTTTTGAGCAAGGGAACCTTTACCTTTACTAAATGCAGTCCAGTACTGAAAGAGGGAGTTTGTTGAAAAAACTATGTTTAGATAAGTACAACTTTTCCAATTTTAGGCTTGTTTTTAAAAACTTTCTGTTGGGGCAAGATGTTATGTGGCAGTATAACTACAGGGATTCCAAAATGATTTCTCTTTGCTTGATCCCTTTCAATCTCTATTTGATGGAGATTGCATTGGTAGTCCTGGTCAAGAACGTATGTTACCGATAAATCTGTTAGATCTTTGGATGCAGTTGCTCATGCCATTCCTTTTGACTTCTCAGTTGGAGTAGGGTCAATAGTTTTGGTATTTTTTGGTGAAAAAGGACACTGAGAATAATCAATAGACATGCTAAGTAATTTCCCTAGAGTAGGTTCTATAGGGGACCATGAAGACGGATGCTGTCTCCTCATAGGTAAATATGTGTATTATATGTATACTTGTGACAAATATTGCAAAGCTCTGCGAGTCTCCAATTCTCCTTCAGACAAAAGGAAATTAAACTTTCTATTGCTGCTATGGACTTCATTTCTTGGGGGGAAAGGGGAGCACATAAAATATAAATTATTAATAATTATGATAATATTTATATTAGAGGGTTTGGATTATAATTTTTATGTAAAAGAAAATGGGCATTGATGAATGTAGAATATTATGCAGTCTGATATATAGATATCAATATCCATCATTTTCTAGGCTACAGTTGCTGAGAAGCTGGGTTTTGCCCACTACATGGACGTTATGATGTTGATTACACGTATTGATTACACACCACCAGTATCCTATGAAAAGGTCATTGTGACAGACACCAAATTTAATGATGTTCCAGTTCGCTTGTATATCCCTAAAGGGCAGCCTGACTCTTTGAAAAGAGCAATGATTTACCTTCATGGGGGTGGATGGTGTTTAGGAGGCAAAGGTAAGCAAGAGTACTTAGTTTTACTGGTGTGGGTTGTCATGGAAGAATGCATCAAGTTATTGTACTGTCATAGGTCTTACTATGGAATATGATCTGTAATACAACATGGCATAAAACTGCCCCCATGTTTTTAGCAAAAATATATATATTCAAGAGTCATAATGTGAACTTCTAGTCTGTTCAAATTATAGGAACCAGCAAAAGATATGAGTGAGAGATGGACAAAATTGAATTTTCCATTGGGAAAGTTCTAGTGCTTCTAGAATGGCAGGGATTTGTCAGGTTTCACCTGGAATCAACGGAGTCACTTCTCATAGAAAAGGTTACTTTATTGAAGCCATGGATCACTGAACAGGTCTCTGATTGGAATAACATAATGCAAAAGCCCCAGCAACATAAAGGGAAATCATAATCACTTTTAACCAATGATCATTATTCCCGCCCTGACATCCAGAGCAGTTTTGCGCGCTCATTTCATAAGAAAGCAACGGCCCCTGCTATCAGCAGCTAGCAGTTCACCCAGTTCTTACTAATTAAAACAAAAGCTAAAAACTCCTTATCTCACACCTGTTGCCCTTGAGAAGAAAGCGGTTCCCTAACAAGCATAGTCATTTCATATAGCACGCATGCGCCAGCATTTCTACATAATTAGCAAGCAGTAACACATAGGAACAGTTTGCACAATACATGGGGGGGTCTGGATATAGGGGACTCATATAGACACTGAATGACATTCATTGGCAGCTTGCTGACAGGATTACTGACTCAGGGATTATCCTTGTAAATATAATAGGTCCAGTTTAATCATGAGGATGGCAAGCAAGAACTCCTCACCAACACATTGTTTCCTGCGCCCAGCATCTCCTTTAAACTTGACTCCTACTTGTGTTTCTACATGTGCAACGTTAGCATACCATGCAATGCCAGCCCATACCTTGGATAACAGGCGGACTATCACTACACATGCAGCAGGTAAAAGGTCTCATCTCCAGGTTGATCTCCAGTCTACAGTTGCTCTCCAGTCTACAGACATTCATTTCCCTGGAGGAAATAGAGCTTTCAGAGAGTAGACTGTATGTCATCAAATCACTGAGGAGGTTCTTCCCTTCCCTAAAATTCATCCTCTCCAGGCACCCACCCTAAATCTCCAGGAATCTCCCAAACCCAAATTGACATCCTTTAGTGTACAGCATTGCATGGATAAGTTCTTCTTGCTTTCCATTATCACATTCAAAGCAGGACTTAATTTCGGGACAGAATTAATTTGGTAAAAAACACAAGTTACATGGCTAAACATAAACAGTCTCTTAAACTAGACAATTTTAGAACTAATTACAATTGACTGAACATTCAGTTAAATATTTGGGTATATTTTTAATTAGAAGGGTGATATTTTATTACAATTTCTGCATTCATTAAACAAATACAGGGTGGTGTTTTAGCTTGAGCAGGATTAAATAAGAATCAGAGAAATAATAAATAAATCCCCCAATTGGGGGCTGGGAGATTTACCAGGAGAAAAGTGAAGGCCCAGGTCATGTTGCCGATGTTGCACAGGACGTGAAATCATGCTGTGACACCACTGTGACACTCTGGTATTTGGGCAAAAACTCTGGTATTTGGGCCCCTTTTTAAACTAAAAAAAAATGTGTACCTCCCACTATAGTAGTTGTACTGTTAGTGTCTATTGATTGAGAAAGTACATCATGACAAAACAATAGAAATGATAATGCTTAGTGTGAGCATGGATTCATGGGTCTTGGAATAACTCCATGGCCCCCTAGGGGTGGAACCACTGATTTAAAGCATTGGACGGAATTATAAGTACAGTGAACACAGCAGCATTTGCAGGGCAGAATGTTTACACCTTCCCTTGTGCGGTGTCTTATTGTGCTTCTGAAAAAGAAGCCCCTGGGAATCGGTGGATACTTGGGGGACAGCGTGGGGTTCAACAAAAAGATCTGCAGTGGGAAGGAAGAACTGGTTAAAAAAACCTTCCTTTTCAGGAGAGCAGAACTGTGACTTGCAGGAGTGGACAAAGAATCAGGAGTCAACCAATGTGCTCCCCCCTTTATTCTCTGCACATATTGATAATTTAATATCAGTGTATGGTAGCTACTGTGTAAGTTATTCTTTATGACAATAAAATCATTCAGATGATGACAAAATATCCCTTTCTGCTTAAAAAGATCATTTCCCCAAAGTGTTGTTAAGGTGTAGTTGATGCAAGGGCATAGGGAGAGCACAGTGGGATATTGCATCAATGTTCTCTGTTATATTAGAAGTATAGCATCTTCTTCTGTTACGGTCAATATATGAATGTTTTGCTGTAGTCTGTAAATTAAGCAGTCTGTGCAGAAATCGGATTACATTTAGGAAGCCGTATAAAATTGTGGAATATGTTAAAAAAAAGCCACAGCCAAGAGTAACAGCAAACTCTTTGTTTCTTTTAGAAGAGCAATAAAATGCACTCTGTCCCTTATTTCGTTGTAGGCATGAAAACTTATGACTTTCTGTCAAGATGGACTTCAGAGAAGCTAAACGCTGTCGTCGTATCAGTAGAGTAAGGGAGGATGGTTCAAACTGGAATTCTTTTTTTCTGTTGTGCATTTTTGTTTTTATGGCTGTCGTTAATAATGCTTGCTCATGAATAGGAAAATTAATGAGAAAGGCACAATCCAGGGAATAGAAGAATATGTTAAAGCCAACTAAATTCATTGTGTAAGAGCACCACATTCTACTGCAACCAAATTCAATTTACCCAATTATTTATTTCCTGTCTCTTTCCTAGGCTTAAGGCAGATTTAAAATGAAAATGGTCCTACTACAATTCAACAATAGGTATTAATAGCCAGCCCAAACAGCGCAGAAAGCAGAGATGCTTTGAATCGCTAGGGAAAGGGAGGTGCACGGCTGAGGAGACTGTCCCGTCTCAAGCCTCTTCCGGATGATGCATCGCCTAACCAGACTCAGATAGACTTCAGCCTCATAGGTAAAACTACTCCATTCCCACCAGTCACTTGGGATTATTAACATGATCCGTAACACCATTTTATTGACTTCATTCCCAATTCAGTGCTAAACCTTGGTTTGTCAGGGCAACAACCACCTGGCGCAAGCACAGCCATTTTTCTCATGGCAAACATGCCAAGGGAGGCCTCATTTCGTCTTCATTTCCCCGTGCTTTAGCATTAAGATTCAGATGTTTCTGCCAGGTTCCAGGGAGTACCTTCATGAAGGCCCTCCAGCCTTTTGGTAATGAGAGCCTGGTTTAGGCCATTCCCTTCATCCATGGATACCCCTTGGCGTTTGCCAATTTTCTTCTGCTTTGGACCAAACTCACACTGTCTCTGCTCCCCTAGTCAGGGGGCCTAACCAGTCACCATTTCCCTTTCCAATAGGTTGAAGTAGGCAAAAGCAGCACCATATCCTTATCTGGTGTCGTACTCTAAAGATTCCTGCGTGGTCCCTCAAAGTCTGGCACCTCATTGTCAGGATGGGCAGGCCATGCCTGCTGCTAGGAGACAGAAAAAGCTTGTCCACCCCTTCTAATGCCTCCTCTGGTTTTCTGTGGCACACAAGATACCCAAAAGCCTCTGTACAAATTGCCGAGCTGTTTCCAACCAACAGAACATCATACTCCATTCCTGAAAAAGGGGAAGAGGTAAAAGATTGGAGTGGAGAGCAGACTTTTCCATTAAAAAACAAACAAACAAATGCTGATCATACCTCTTAAGCAAGATCTTGGCTCTAAAAGTCTCATGATGAAGACAGATGCAATATAAAAATAATTTCTTGTGTATTCTTCAGCTGCTCTGCAATCCCACCTTGTACTTGAAGAGACAGACAGGCATGCAAGTGAATAAAATGCTAACACTAATCCTAAACACAGGCTGCGGTCACACACACTAAATAGTCCACTTTTAATCCCCTTCCCAGCTGGATTTTACTGTGTGAACTGGCAAAATCCAATTTGAAAGTGGATTATTTAGTGTGTGTGATCGCAACCACACTGTTTAGGATTTCACTGCAACCTGGTTATCATTACTGCCTTCTCCTACTTGCTGTACATCTTCCTCCTGCTGCCTGACATGAGAGGAGGCTGCACTGCTTCCATGCCTGAGCAGTGCATCAGAAATGGAAGCAGTGCAGTGAGAGTGTTGTTTGCTCTCCTCCCTCCCTGTGCAGCAGTAGCCAGCCGGGGAAACAATGAAGTGGGCGTTACTGTTATTTTTCTCCTGATGAAAGAGGATTGGCAAAGGTGAGTCAATGGGAAGTGGGCTAAACTGATGGCTCTGCCCATGTTGAATTAGCTAGTTTTGTTCACCTGTAAAGCTGAATGGAAGCTGCCCATGAGGCTTTTATGTCTGCCTTAATCCTAGGAGTTATAACACACCCTTGTTCCCTTGCTTTCATCAGGGGAATTGGCTTGCAATGATCTCTAAGGGGTAGCTGTGTTAGTCTGTTGCAGCCAAACCAAACAGAAGTCCGGTGACTCCTTCAAGACTTAACAACATTTATTCTAGCAAACGTTTTTTTGTGAGTTAGAGGTCACTTTATCATTAGGCTGGAATAAATTGAGTCAGTCTTTAAGGTTCCACTGGACTTTTTGTAAGGATTGCATTATCTTGTGAGAATGACATTCAGTTTATATGCCAATAAAGGCTGACTTGACTTGACTTTCATTTAATGGTGAGATTGTTAAAAACTCAAGTTAATCTCACTTCTCCATATGTTTATATAGTAAAGTTCTCAGTTATTTGACACACATTATTAAACTGTGGTGAGTCTTAAAATGGTTTGCAGCTCAGTGAGGGAAAGGGGGCATTTGGGGGGGGGATGTCAAGTCACACCTGACTTAGGGAAAGGGGGCATTTGGGGGGGGGGATGTCAAGTCACACCTGACTTACGGTGACCCCATAGAGTTTTCAAGGCAAGAGACTTTCAGGGATGATTTGCCATTGCCTACCTCCATGTCATGACCCTAGTCTTCCTTGGAGGTCTCCCATCCAAATAGTGGCTTGGGCTGACCCTGCTTAGCTTCTGAGATCTGACAAGATTGGGCTATCCTGGTCAGAGGTGCGCAACATAAGGGACTGTAATAAAATCCATTAAACCAGCCAACTTAGCTGGTGGGGAAAAAACACACAGGTGTAAAATTTCCTGAGATGTTTTGGTTTTCTTTGCATAAGCAGCAAGAGTGCTTGTGGCCGAACGGACCTGCTCTAGACTGCAGGCCCTGTTCCACCCTGCCCTCCAAGGTTTCCCCAACACCTGGAGAGGCTTTTCTTTCTCTCTTGGGTGACCACTGCCACCACCTGACCTTTGTAAGGAATTGCCCACTGGGAGGGTCAGGACTCCCAGCTTCTCTTCCTGGTTCTGAGGCCTTGCCTCTGTGTCTCCCACTGCCCAGCACCTGGTGACAACCAGTGTTCCCTCTAAGCTGAGTTAGTGTGAGCTAGCTCACAGTGTTTTAGCCTCCGGCTCACACATTTTTGTCTTAGCTCAGGAAAGATGGCTCCAGCGCAAACCAATTTATACAGTAGCCAAATTGCTCGCTCACAACTTTAATGGCAGCAGCTCACAAAGCAGAACTTTTGCTCACAAGACTCCACAGCTTAGAGGGAGCATTGGTGACAACGGTGACTGGTTACTGCCTTGTGTGCCTAAGTCAGGTCGGATCAGAGAAGCTTTTCCTGGATATTCTTCCTGGATATTCTTCCTGGAGCCTTTTTAGTCTAAAGTCTTCCAAATCTCTGTCCTCTGCTTGGAGCAAGGGGGGAGGTTGGCCCACCCATTATCTCTCCTGCTAGATCTGTTAGCTGTTGTATGAAGGTGGGCTGAAGTAAGTCTGGAAAGCAACTGACCTGACTTCCCCCTCCCTGCCTGTTCTCTGCCCAGAGAGAAAAACTTTTAAAACCTCCTGGTAAAGGTTTTACTCAGGTCAGACCTCTATCAAAAATTCACTTCTTCACAGTGTTTAATAGGAATGTCTTTTAAAAATTATTCCACAGTTACAGGCTGGCACCTAAGTATCATTTCCCAGTTCAGTTCGAAGACGTGTACGCAGTGGCCAAGTACTTCCTGCAAAACAGTGTTCTTGACCAATACAACGTAGACTCAAGCAGAGTGTGTGTCTCGGGAGACAGTGCAGGAGGGAATCTGGCTGCGGCTGTGGCACAGCAGGTGAGTGGTAGACATTTGAAAGCAGTAACAAAATGAAATGCCAGCATCCACGCAAGGTTAGTCACATGAATCTTGGGATAACTCCTCTTGTGTTTATGTTCAAGAGGATGTGTCAGTTGGGTTGTCAGCTCTGGGCTGGGAAATACCTGGAGATTTTGTGGGTGGAGCCTGAAAAGGGCACGGTTGGGGGGGGGGGACTTTATTGAGGTGTAATACCGAGTCCATCTTTCAAAGCAGCCATTTTCTCTAGGTGAACTGATCTCGGTCACCTGGAGATGAATGGTAATCCCGGGAAACCTCCAGCCACCAACTGCAGGTTGGCAACCCTATCAGGATATGAAGTAAGACTATGAGGAATTTCAGACAGGCGATATCTCCTGGTAGGGAACCGGTTCTCAAATGGGTTCTGATCTGTCATTTCAGACAGAACCCGTTTGAGAATCGGTTCCCTATCAGAATGTATTTGCCATTTCATACACAAAAGCTTCTGTCCCATTTAGGAACCGGGACTGAAGCGTTTTACCTGTCAACTGCTTCCGAATAGTCTTCAGTTCCCTCTCCCAATTCTGTTACACTTTTTTCCCGCCGTTTTTCGCCCGCGCGGGCTTTTTTTTTTTAACGTTGGGTTTATAGCGTTATATCGCTATAACGCTATACCGGAACTTCAAACTCCAATGGGATCGCTATTGCGATCGTTTGGAGTTCCAGTATAGCGTTATATCACTATAATACTATAAATCGAACTTAAAAAAAAAACAATCACCCGCGCGGGAAGAAAACGGCGGGAAAACAAAGCGGTGCAAGTCTGAAATGCCAAACTGCTTCTGATCCGGCTCATTTCCGGTAGGGGCAAGCCATGTGTGAAATGGCAGCCCTGTACCGGTTCACTTCAAAACGGATTATTACCGGCGTGAAACCGGATGAAACTGGGTAATGTGAAATTCCTCTATATCTAACATGAACCATATTAGAATCTAGATCTGTCCAGTGTGTAAAGGGATGGAGATGGGTGGAGGATAAACATTGCTCCCAGGAGAAGGGGGACCAAAGGGCTGGGGTTGCTCTGGGAGGCTAAAGAATCAGGCAGGCAAAACACTACTGGCAGATCAGTTTACCCCTTCAGCTTTGAGTTCTCCCACCTGGACCAGGCTTTGACTTCAGAAACTTTCACTGGAGCAGCCTCTTTCCGGAGAAGGGATTGCCAGATGCCTGCAGCAGTAAAGGCGGAACTAATTATTACCTTTATTACCAGAGCATGGTAATCTGCTTGCTAGCTAAAGAAGGACATGGATGAGAGGCAACTACTGGTGATGAAGACATGCTGGAAGAGAGTGAGGGGGAAATGGAGGGGATTTTTGTGTGAGTAGGAAAGGAGCTGTGGGAATGCCATGAGTGTAGTTTGGCCTAGAACCACCCCAACCCCCATTTCAGTTGTATTAAGAGACTAGTTGCCCTTACCTAAGGATGAGAGAGAGGCACTCTGTGCGTGTTCAAAGAGAATCATTACTACATCTCATGGCAGTGCTGGGACCAGGCACAAGTTAGGTGTGGCGGTTACTATGAGCTTGATACAGAATGCTTGCAAATGGCAAAGAGGAAACTTGCCAAAATGTCATTTATTTTGCTGAAGACTGTTTACTCACCCTGTGATGGCTTCTGTTTCCCTGCATTTTGTTCTGTTTCCCTGCTTTCCGTTTTGTTCCACCTGTTTGATCTTTGTTGCCACCTAGGCGTCCCTGCTATTGACCTCCCCCACCCACCAACACTCTCCTTTTCCCTCCCTTCCCCCTACCAATCCAAGGGCTCTTTCTCCAGTTCCCACTTCTCCCACTACTCCTGCTTTCCCTTTACCCCGTCACCGACAGCTTTCCTTCCCAGATTCCATCACAGTCTCCCCCTCACATCTCCTCCCTATTCCACTTTCCTGTTCTGTGCTCTAGCTCCTCCTCCACCTCCTCTTGAGGGTTGCAAACCATTTTTGGCTGCAATGGGAACCCCAAGTGTCGCCCACAAGTTTTCTTCTTTTCTTTCCTGTGATACCTGTGCTTATTGGGGGGGGGGGCTTTTAAAGTTTTCAGCTTTTTTTTTTTGTGAATCGAGGGATACTCCCTAGTGCATGAACACATTTTTAATACCAAACTATTAAAATTGTAAAATTATATTATTTTACAATCTTTGTAAAATTGATTTTATAGACAATGTAAAATAGCGTAAACACTGGATGTGATCAGCATTTTGTTTCTTTCTTTTTTAAAAATAAAAGCAGTATGCAGTCTTCTGATTTCATTTTTTATTTTTATTGCAATATATTAAAACATGTATTTGGGCTAGCTTTCACATCTGTGTCTTTATTCACTGCATTTTCTATAATTTTACAGCTTCTTCATGACCCTGAAGTCAAAGTTAAACTTAAGATACAAGTGTTAATTTACCCTGCCCTTCAGACCCTTGATATGGATCTGCCATCCTACAGAGATAATGAAAACAAGCCAATCTTGCCTAAGTCTTTAATGGTGAGATTCTGGAGCGAATATTTTACAAATGACACATCTCTAAAGGCAGCAATGGAGACCAACCAACATGTTCCTGTAGAGTGGAGTGGTTTGTTTAAGTTTGTAAACTGGAGTAACTGGCTTCCTGAAGAATTTAAAAAGGGCCACATTTACACCTCCCCATCACATGGAAGTTCCAAGGTTGGAAAGAAATACCCAGGGCTTCTGGATCCCAGAGCAGCACCACTGTTGGCTGACAACACCAAATTGCAGGGTTTACCTCTCACATATGTGATCACGTGTCAACACGATGTCTTGCGAGATGATGGCATTATGTATGTCTCACGACTTAGGGAAGCAGGAGTTCCAGTGGTACACAAACATGTGGAGGATGCTGTTCATGGGGCTCTGACATTTATTATGAGCCCATTCAACTTATCTGTGGGACAGAGGATGGCAAATAATTACATTGAGTGGCTAAATGAGAACCTGTAAAGGAAACCATATCTACAGAAGGCTTTTGGCTCTGATTTGGGTGATTTAGGTTTTATACTGTTTTCCAATAAAAGAAATGACCTTTTCTAGGAATAATGTTGATATCACAATTGTTCGGAAATTATGGAATATTTTGCACCTTCTGTTTGGAAGATTTTAAAAAACGCTTCAACAATGTATGGTTCATTTCCTTTTTTCTAAAAAACAACAACAACAACCCTGAAATCAGAGGAATTATACTTTCCAGTTATTTGGGTGTAAAATTGATGATATATAGTGCTACAGGTCAGATTTTCCCCTTGGCATGTGATTTAGCGTGGCTGTACTAAGTGCCATTTTGAATAGTGGCTTACAGAATGCTGTTCACTGTAACAGACAGCAGCTTTATTTTGTCAAATAACCAGCAATGAAAGTGATCTTAGTATAGCACTTTTCAGGCATTATGCTTTTGGTGCTCCTAACTTGTGCACTGGGGGAGAGAGCTTCTGTAATGGCTTTAGTCCATGCAATCTGAAACATAGATTTTCAAAGGTACGTGTTCTTGTAGACCAATGCTGGAAAATATGTACATTGTCCTCTTCACACAATACAGTGAACAAGTGGATCAAGAGGATCACACATAGCACACTCTCCTGGTAAACAAGGTAAGAGCATGAAAAGTATAATAATGGAAAAGGGCTTAAGTGTGTTCATCTTTTCAAGATGCCCTATCCATGGACTATGCTGCTAACCATTTTGCTGAAAGTCTTGTAGATCAAGGAGAGTCCATCCTTCAGTTCTTCCCCTCTGATCCTTTTTGTGATTCTTACATGCAGCAGCAGCAGCAACAACAAAATACTTTCTTAAGAGGCCTCTTAAAAATATTTTGACCTCTTAACAATGAACTGGGACCAATTCTGCAAAAGCAGAATCTCCCATTTCCCCCAGTTGTACTGCTCAATTTCCCACTATTTGCTGCACGGCTGCATTTTGACCCGCATCTTGCCCCAATTTCCTCTTCAGTACAACCAGGGGAAATGGGAGATCGAGGGCACAACAACTGCTTTTGCAGAATCAGTCTGGGTTTTATTTTTTCCTTTTGTGTGTGTGTGTGCACATGTGTGCCCATGCCTGGAAGTCATAGCTACCTTTGGCAACTCCTACTGGGGCAATGGAAGATGTTCAGAGAAGTAGCTTGATAGCCTGCCTCTGCCTCCTAGCCCTGGTATTCTTTGGAGGTCTCCCATCCAAATACTTGCCAGGGTCAGCCCTGCTTAGCTTCCAAGATCTGATGAGATTAGTCTTGCCTGGGCCAAGTCAGGGCTTCAATGACTAACTGTTTTTTGATGGTATGAACAATGTTGTACCTCTTCAGCTATTACAGTAATTATACTTGGCTGTACTGCAGAATAAAGACAGGAAAGCTTCAGTTTCCTTCAGGTTGTTTTTTGTAACTTTAGGGACCAACTTGCAGCTTTCCCCCTGCACAACATAAAGTGCAGGAATCTAATAGCAGAATGATACTGAACAAGTTTATCTTTTAGTTTTTCATGTTTACTGTTAATAATAGGGAGCATGACTGAGCAGCTGGCTGCATTTCAAGGCTGTTTTGCAGATCATGCAGAAGCAAGCTCAAATTTGCCATAGAACTCTCCCAGATTGTGTTCTTTGAGCTCACCGTGTTCCTTCTCCCTCCTGGGCTCATAACCGACTTGCCAGGAAGGAATGATCCACAGTTTGAGAACAGTAACTTGAGAGAATTATTTAAAAAAAAAAAAAGAAAGCTTGGGCTTAACCTCAGATCTGTGAAAACTGCAAAGACTCAAACATTAACAGTGCCATCCTATTAACTGTGCCATCGTAAGCACAGTGACATCTTTCTAAACCCATTGACATCATTTGACTTAAAAGGGTATGACTTTGCTTAGGAGAGAGAGCATTCCTAAACTAGTCAGAATTTTACACAATCTTATTCAATGAGGCTTATTCCCAGGAAAGTGTTCTTAGGATGGCACTGTAAGAATTTATTGTTTATTTACTTACTTAATTTACACCCCACCTTTCTCCCCAACGGGAACCTGAAGCAGTTTACATGTCAGGTCCCCACAGCAACAACGAAGTACATGCTTGTAGAAAGGTTTTACTTTTATTGAAGCCAAAGGTGCATTGACAGGAACACTGTTAGGAATGACTTGGAGCCATAGAGCATGTCAGGATATAGTAAATTCAAATCAGCAAGACCCAATTGTGGGAGTTCCCGCGTGTGGCATTAGGCCTGAGAACTAACGATACTAATAAGCATAACAGGTAAAACTTCCCACGACTCATCCGAGGGATAACCCAAGCAACCTCTACAGCAGCTCTCCTCCTGTGGCCTTGAAAGATACGTGTTGCTGTGGCAAAGCAATTAAGCGCAAGGAAAGGAATGCGCATGAAAGCTTAAGTAGAAATAAAAACAATTGGTAGCTTGCTGACATTTTCCACTTTTCAATTTTATCCTCATAATAGCCCTATGAGGTGGGTTAGACTGAGATCATGTGACTGGCCCAAGGTCACCCAGCACGTTTTTGTGGCAGAGTGGGTTCAGACTTGGGTCTCCCAGATCCTAGGCTGACACCCTAACCACTACATTACACTACACTGAGAGGATGAAACTATTTACTGTTCCTGATGAGGAGGCTTCTGAGTTCTAGCCCCACTGTGTGGTCCTTCAGTCCCGTATGTTCCAGTAGCTGTGATGGAGAAATGTAAAAGGAGGCTATATCATAAGGACTCAAAGCAGAAGATTCCCACCCCCCACCCCCCAAATCCTTAGGAAACATAGTTTGCTAGTGCTTCTAGGGTTTTAATAAGGGCCCAGAATGCTCAGCAAACTACAATTCCCATTGATCTGAGCCTGGAAATTTCCTAATAATGACAAAAAGACGGAAAAGTAGCAGCTCAGAATGACCAGATGCATTTGTGAGCTGAGCTGAAATTCAAGGAGATTTCGGCTTGTTTGGATTGTTAAAAACTTACTATTTCAGAACTTGGGGAGGTACTTCTTAAAATCTGTGTGGTGAATCTTGCATGAATTGGGGATGTGAAGCACTTGGCCGGTGCCAGAAAGGGGGTCAGCAAGCACCATGGTGCCTGTGGGAACCATGTTGAAGACACTTGCTTTTATGGTCTGGAGGAGGAAATGGGATAACAGGTACACTGGAAATTTAAAATGGGAGAATGTGCATGTTAAAGAGTGCATTAAGTGGGAACAGGCATAAAGTGGGTTGAAAGGTGTCATCTGTTAGAAAAGATTTTGTTCTATGTTGATATATGATTATCAAGCTTAAATAAAGTTTAATTGTTTTAAAAGTGATGTGTGTGATTGCTGAAGTTACTGCTGATATTACTGTTGCTTAAGAGAGGAACTGTGAAAGTAACCCCCCAACCAATTTACCAAAATCCTTTTTGTAATTCTCACAAGGTGAACAAATTAAATATGATTATTTTTTTTATCAGAAACAACCTAAATTCTTCAAAGCAGCCATGATGACCTTGAAACCTGCACAGCACTCTACCAGTGACAAAAAAGCAAATACATAAAATCAGATGTGATCGACCAAGGGTAGTAAGAGAAACTTCAGATTCTGTTCACCATCAATTAGTATTAAGCATAATCTCAGCAAGCATATTGCAAATAATGATGCTTCACTTTTTGACTGCAGGTGCCATCAGCATCAGCTCCTGCCCATATGTATTAAATATTAATTTTATTAACTATTTCAGATTTCTTGCATTACTACTTGTCATTCTGAAGTGCCATAATTAGCACTTTCCCAAAGATGAGTAATTTTTTCCATTTCAATCGATCATGACTGTGACTTTTCCACATCACCGTTGAATTATGCTTTTTATCAGGGCTGTGTGGAATATTCTTTAGTTTTGAATTATTTAAAACCAAAAATAGCAGTTAAAAAGATACCTGTCCATCACAGATAGAATTAAAATGTGATTTGCTGACCACAGATCCCATTGCTGAGAGGGAAAGAAAGGACACAGATTTTGTTTGTTTAGTTGCACAATGGTTTGGCTGAGCATGAAAAATCAACACGTATCTGCTTCAGCCATGGATAATATGAACTTATGCTATGTAATTATGAACAAGTTATTCCTGTTCTAGCTTTTGTAGACATTTGATCTTTTCAGACAGCCAGATGGGGTGTGTTCAGCATGATGTTAGAGTTGTGTGTTATTTTTTGCCATCTAGTGGACAATGGCATGCTAGCAGGTGGCATACTTTTGTTGTTCAGTTGCACAGTCGAGTCTGACTCTTTTAGGATACTTTTAGGATAGTATTATTGGGTTAAATGCAAGAAAAAAAAATCATTTCCTTGGAAGCACAAAAGCTTTATGCACTATCCCAGATTCTCCATGTTTCCCAGTTAAGGAAAAAAATGCTATTCAAACAAATTACAGAGATGATCTGACTCCAATGGTAACAAGAGAAAAAAACTTGCAAAAATAGAAGCACATCTTACATGCCATATTCATGTACATACATTAAACGTATTGTGAACAGATTAACTTCACAAAGCTACAGCTCCAAGCCCAGGTAAGAGAGAGAAGAAGAGAGGTCCTATATAAGATGAAACAGAAGGCAAACAATGGCCAAAGAGGATGGGACCGACTGCCAAGTGTACAGGAATAAGAGGGGATTTTCTTAACCCCTTCCCTCCCAGATCATCTTGCATGCAGAGTTACAAGTACCATGAAGGCCCTTTCTGTTGACTGCAGAGCCTGTGATTGGACACAAGACAAAGAAGGCAGTGGTGCCTAAAGGATGTATGGCCAAACCACTTAGAGTTTTATAGGTCAACTTTAGTACATTTATACTTCAACAAAAAGAAGAGCACCCATTCTTTCAAGAAACAAAATCACAGGATTCTACAGTAATTGAAATCATGTACAAAGGATATCATGTGAAAAGTGCTTCTAAATGTTATGGCTGGGTTTAGAGCTCGCCACAGAAATGCCTTTCTGTTTTCGGTCCAGGGAACTCGAAGTTTAAAATAAATTAGGAATACAATATTCCAGTCTTCAGTGCAAAGAAGAAAAAAACAAAAAATGTGGCACTTGCTGTATAAAACAGTAAATCCTCTTATATCTTATGACTACGGAACTGCCAAATACTCTTCAGGATATATAAAACAGTCATTGGGCAAATGCCTAAATAGCATGATGAAGAATCACTATAAAAGAGATAAAGAGTACTAAAGCAGGCATCTGTGACAGGAAGCTGCAAAGCCAAAACTATCTGCAAGCTTCAGATGCACAAACGGTTCGCACATGTCCTGTACACAAGTTTCCCTTTGGATTAGGGACTGACGATTTTCCTTTTCGGGAGCACAAATTGCATGTTTGTACTTGCAGTTCTGTGTCCCAATATAGCAACAGCTTTTTGAAGTTACTGTATATCCTCAGAGGAGGTTTGTTTACTTAGTGTATTTAGAAAGTTGGATATGAAGTCCTCCGTTTGAATTCCCATTTTCTGTGAAAATTACCAGGTGACCGTGGCCCACTCATTCTCTCTCAGCCTAAGCAACCTCACAGGTTGCTGTGAATATAAAATGGAAGAGGGAAGATTCGTGTATGTCGCCTTAAGCTTCCTGGAAGGAAAGTCATGATAAAAATGCATTAAATAATAAATATTAGATCCACTGAACAAAGGTTGAGTCCAGTGGCACCTTTAAGACCAATGAAGTTTTATTCTGGCTTATACCCACAAGAAAACTTTGTTGGTCTTCAAGGTGCCACTGGACTCAACCTTTGTTCTGCTGCTTCAGACCAACATGGCTGCCAACCTGACTCTATTAGGCTAACTGTTAGACTATGGAAAGATACACAATAGCCTATTATAGATAAAACACCTTTATACAGAATCAAAGGTCAACCCAATATTCCCAGCTGTGAATCTCTTTTTTGGGGGGTGTATTTGTGTG